ATATAAATGCACAGACACACACAAACACACGTTTATGTTCATATGTATACTCATGTCTATATAATATCGCCGTCCGATAAGTATTGTATCGTGTATTTGTATGCTATTCATATATATGCCCAGGTCGATGATCTTCGCTTTGCATCCGTGTGTGATTGAGATCAAGTATATGCTAGGCCACCAACGAGCGGATTTTTTTGTTTTGTGTAATTAGATAAGGTGTGAGCAACTATGGAAAATCCAAAAAGGCTTTAAATATGGCTTGTAATTTCATCTCTTTAACTATAATGTTTATACATGACGTAAACGTATTTCGGTTCAACGCAAAAGGCTTGGTTCGTTGTATCAAGCGGTTCTTCCAAACTGTTATTAACTCACGAAAGTCCACGCGCGAATATATATATATATATATATATATATCTGCATGTACGAATGATTGAGAAATGCTATACCTTCGTCCTGCTTTTTCTGTATTAGAATTGAAGCCGAGCATGCGTTGCTGACCAATTGGGAAGTTAGTGAAGTGATTAAAAACGACATAAAATGGTGCAAGAAGAAAGAAAGAGAATCTAAGAGCAACGTAACGGAAAAGCACAATATAAGTGGACTACGCGATGTTGCTACACTATGTTATGCGGTATGTGGAATCTGGTGTGCTTAAGGAAAGTTACTGTCATCATTGGCGCCGTGCGTTCTGATCCATTTCAAGAATTCCGGACTATGGTGAATGGTTGTGTTCGCTGACCTGTAATAATTACTAGTAACCCCACGCATCGAATTACCATATCTAACATGAGGGTGTCAGTCTTCACTTCCCGCATTCGCGCACCGCAAATCTGAAACTCTGACGCCTTTCGCAATTCTGCCTATAGCTTCAGAACTACTTCAAGGACTCCCCAACACAATATCACACGGCGGAAAGTATACAGAAACTAACCAAGGGTATGGCTCCTTTTGGATTGACGAAGGCGGAGAAGTTGCAAATCGTTAATAACATGCCCCGCAGCGAGGTGGAGATACATGTGGTGAGTGAATTTTACCACAATCTAGAAAATATACAGAGTTTAGTCACGTGTAGCTTTTGAACTATGAAAGTGAGCAATCTCGTCGTCTAACTTTACAGTTTATGTTATCCCAGATTGTAGAGGAAGTGGAAGAGAGGCTTCCCGAAAATGCTTGGGAAGAAATAGTGAGCGCTGTAGAAGCGAGTATTTTGAGTGCCCCAACAGACGCTGACGACACAGCAATACTCGCGCAATAATGTTTGTATTATAGCGACACGCCGTCTCAATCGGTCGATGAAGACAGTACTTGTGCAATATCTCGACTTACAATGGCAAAAAACGTCGAACGTCAAGACTTGTTAGGGCTTGTTCTGAATTTGCAGCACTTGCATTGTCAATAACCATCACTCGTAGGTCTCAGACAACGTGTTTGCTTGAATATTTTAGGAGGCCATGGTTCGTAACCAAGGCGTTCATCAATAGTTACAGCTTGGCGGGTTTTTTGGGTTTGGGACACCCGTGTAGCGACTAGCGACTAGCGTGTATTTTTAGTAAATAATTATGTTCTGATTACCTGATGTAGAGAGAAAAGTTTTGTTACTGTTTTTTTTAAATAAAAACAAATAGAAGTAAATATTAAAAAAAATATGTTTGTATTTGTTTTTATATATAAAATCGATATATGTATATGTATACATAAATATATATATTTATTTTAACACCCCATCCTTGTACCAAGGGGATTAAATCGGGCCGAAAATTAAGAACCGTTCCTGACTAGCTAAATCTGGAATTCTATTTATTCCCAATATTTTTATTTATTTTGCATATTTCAAGATTAAGTATTTTGAAAATGATCTGCGAAGGCGCCAAGGTCGCAGTAAAAGTAGAACACCTTCTATGCGTAGGAGTTTAACACCGACCATGTAGCCCTCCGCCATCGCTGTGACGACATCAGAAAGAACTCAACAAAATGTTGGTCCAACAAAGAGATCGCGGCAATGGCCCGGCGCCAATACTACTACCAACTGGTTATGGGTAAACCGCCAACCTCAAACCGAGACACGGCCAGACACAACAGCTTCAATCGCTGCTTCGAGTCTACACCAATCCGGCTCTGTGCTATGATTGTAACGAATACGTACATGTTCACATTGCTTGACTACCGCACCGACGGCTGTCTCTGCCCTGTCTGCCCCGGTAGCCACAAGTTCACTACCAGCCACTTTACCTGCATCTAACAACTGATTCGACGCATCCTGGTAGGCCCGAAACTGCCGCACATTAGCCCTGGCCTCCTTCAGCAATTACAGGAGTGCCACGACTTCCCACGGTATCTGGACCCTCCACGAATACCTTGGATCTTTTCTCCAGCATATTGAAGAACCACCGTAACCTCACCCATCCCTGACACATCAACAGATGTTCCCCATACCCCGGCTAATCACGCTGTTGAAGTATTACTTCCAAATATTGGTTCAAACCAAATCATCGCGCTTGTTGGTTCCGACTATGATACTTCCGATCCA